TTAAACAAAACTCTTTATAGCCACAAGCTTACATTTATAAACATCTTTACTTTTTGACCGAGAATTGTAATTATAGTTTGAAACATTGGTACAGAATTTATATATTAATAAAGTTTAAGTTTTATTGGCATAAATATTTGAGCATTGATACAAAATTTAATATTGATTTTGGTAATCTTAGATAGGAATCGTTCCTATGTTATTTATGTAAGAATACAATAGTTAGACCCAGTCCTTCTAATAGCTGCTATTTCAAACTTTTTAGGATGATTAAGTAATGTAAGTTAAATCAGACAGTGAGGAGATCCACCATGCCTAGAGTGAGTTGAAGAAAGGAGAAATGGTTTACCTGAGAAGAACATAGGTCAGACATACATAGGCAGCATGTGAAGGAGCTGAGAAAGCATGGGCTATAGGACTATCCAACTGGCTCTAGAGTAACTAACTAGAATATAGAATTTAGTAAGCAATTACATAGAATTATTGATGGGAGGTGGACTTACTTCATGGAGGTTACACAGTGGTCCAGCTATTTAGCTTTTTAAGGAATATTAACATATAAACGTTGTGTGTCTCTTTCCCTCTGTAACCAAAACAATTGAGGCAGGTACTGAACCTACCATGAGAACTTATTTATTAATATTTATTTCAACACCTTTTATATATTTTCATATCATCTGGAAATAGCTATATTTGACTTCTTCCTTTCCAAATTGTAAACCTTTTTTTTCTTTAGTTGTCTCATTACTCTATATAGAATGTCAATTACTATACTGAATTGATATGGTTGTAGTAGGTAGTGGTGTATTTTCCCTGATTTTAGTAGTGTTGATTTTAATTTTCTCCATTCAATTTGATGTTGGCTATTTGTTATGTGTATATTGCTTTTTTTATGTTTAGGTGTGATCCTTATATTCCTGATCTCTCTAAGCCTTTTAACATGAAGAAATATTTTATATTTGTCAAAGGTGTTCACAGTATCTAATGAGATGATCATGTTGTTTTGGTATCAGTTTGTTTATCTGATGAATTATATTGACAGATCTTTCAGATGTACTTTTGAATTGCTGGCATGAAAAGTTTCTAAATTCTTTATAGAGGCATTTAGTGCTTTGGACACCCCAGTTAGAACTGCTTTCATTGTGTCCCATTAATTTGCGAAGCTTGTGCCTGCATTATCATTTAATTTTAAAATGTCTTTTATTCATTTAATTCTTTCCTACCCAGAGATCATTGAGTATAGAATAGTTCATTTTTCATGAGTGTTTTGGACTTCTGGTCTTTCTGCTTTTGTTAAATTCCAGCTTAAATCTGTGGTGGCATAATAACATACAAGTTATTTGAATTTTCTTTTATGTGTTGAGGATTACTTTGTGACTGTCTACATGGACTATTTCGGAGAAGGTCCTATGTGTTGTTGAAAAGCAGGTATATTCTTCAGTGTTTTGCTGCAAAGTTCTGTAGATGTTGGTTAGGAACATTTGATTGATAAAATCATTTAGCTTTGTATTCCTTCATTTAGTGTTCATCTAGATGACCTGCTGATTAGTGAGGTTAAACCTTTAAGTCTTCCACTCTTAATGAATGGGATTCACTGGGCAGATTAATTTAGCAATGTTGTGTGGTCAAATGTGGGCACCCCTGTGTTTGGGGCATAGGGATTCAGAATCGGGAAAAATTAGGCAGATGTTTTTCTTTAATAAGGATGAAATATTCTTCTCTGTATCTGTAGATTAATTTTGTTTGAAAATATGTTTTGTTACATATTAAAATAGCTAATGCAGCTCGTTTCTCTAGTATGTTTGCTTGGAAAATATTTTAGCCAGTATATAATTGCCTGGAAAAATTTTCTAGATCTTTACTCTGAGGTAGTGTCTATTTTCTTTCCTGAGGTGTGTTTCTTTTATGTAGCAGAATCATAAGACTTTTTAGGATTCATTAATTTGTGGGTTTTTACTGGGAAATTGAATCAATGAGATTCAGAGAGAGTAATGACCAGTGATTGTTAATTTCTATTATTTTGACATAGTTGCTCTCCTCTCCCTCTCCCTCTCCCTCTCCCTCTCCCTCACCCTCTCCCTCTCCCCTTCTGTCACCCTTCCCCTCCCCCTTTCCCTCCCCATCCCACCTCTCCCTCTCCCTCTCTGTCTCTGTGGGTGTGGGTGTCCATTTTTTCTGAGCTTCAGATGTTTTGTTTTTAACAGTATAGAATTACATATTCCCTGTCTCCTATCTCCATGGGTGTAGTTTCACTTTTTGGGCTGTAATTTTGCTTCTAGTATTTTCTGTAGAACTGGATTTGTGAACATACATTGTTTAAATTTGGATTTTTATTGAAATATTTTATTTTCTACATCTATGGAGAGTGAAAGTTTTGTTGTGTATAGTACTCTAGGTTGGCATCTGTGGTTTTTTAGAGGTTGCAATATACATGTTCAGAACCTTGAAGTGTTAAGGGCCTATTTTGGGAAATTTAGTATAATTCTGATGAGTATGCCTATGTGTATTACTTTTCCCCTAAACTTTCCTCTCTTAATAACCTTTCTATGTTCTGTAGAGTTACTATTTTGTTTGCTATGCAGTGGAAGGAGTTTCTTTTTTGGTGCTTTTTAATTGCTGTTCAATAAGCTTATTACATGTTTACAGGCATGTCTTTCATTAGTTTGTGAAAGTTTTCTTCTATGATTTCATTGAAAATATTTTCTGTTCCTTGGGCAAGAACACTTCACGTTCATCTATTCCTATGATTCTTAGGTTAAATCATTTCATGGTATCCAAGTTTTCCTGGTTATATCATGCCAGGATTTTTTTAAATATAAGATTTTCTTTCTTTGACATATCATATCATGTATCCTCAATGGATAGCATTTACTGAAGGCAACTGCATGCAAAAGCACTATACAATTACTAAAACAGTGTGTTTCTCTTTCACATTGTCTACCTAATGAACCAATAGAGTTCATGAAATATTACATTCTGTCATCCTAAAGCTGCAATGTTGTGTTATGGAATTTTTGTCATTGTTGTGCCGTGATTCTAAACAATTTTATGTGTAGTATAATTTTTCCTAAGACAAAAGTATTTGCAGTATGGTCCACATTAATTGAAAAGTACAAAGAAAATTTGAAATCTCTCTGTGAACTAGACCTTCATCTGGCAATTCTGAAATTTCTGAACCCTTGCCTCATTGGCATAGAACCTTAAAATGTGAAAATTATAGGAGAAATAAAGAGAAAAAAATAAAAAAATAAACCTATGGAAAATTCCAATTAATCATTGAGACACATATTGAGTTCTTATTAGTACTTTTTGTAGACTGATAATAAATCCTATAGGTGAATTTTGCAGGTTAGCCCAATGCCTCTCTTTTTGTTGTACAGTGTATTCTTCATAGGAAGTAAATGACAAATTATTGGTAGTAACGGTGCTTTTAATATAACACCTTTTCAACCTCTTATCAGCTCAAAGTTGTCAACATGGATGATATTGTTCGAGGCTGAAGTTCAGCTGCTTACAGTTACAGGTGATGGTATTAGAATTGGTGCAGTGCTGTCATATTTACATGTGATTAGACTGTGTTTTGTATAATTAATCCAAAAAAAATCAAACACACTTTAAAAGGAAACAGGTAAGAAAATAAAATCATGGGTCTCTCTTTAAAACAACGTAATCATGGTATTTTAGAATGGGAAATGGAAACCAAGAGTAATATCTTGTTGGAGACAATAGTGAGATAGGAATTAATTGCCTTGTTTCTTCTTGGCCACAGGTAAGTGTTTTGTTTACCTATCATCAGAAATAATTTCAGCTGGAGTTACCTCACAGACACTGACCATTATTGCAACTAGAGGTGTCTTTTTTTTTTTTATAAAGTACCTTAGGCAAAGGTATATAAAGCAAAGGGTGAATATCAATTTTAACTATGTTCAGCCTCCATTTATAATTACAGTTCGTCTGTTAGTTAGTTATATAGGAGGTCACTACTGCTACATACGCAGTTCTTTAGAGAAATACACCATTTTCTGGATAAATAGAGCACGTGAAGGAAGTAAAGGATTTTTTTCCCTTCTGCCTATATAAGTTCATGATCTCCGGAGTAATTTTCTGGCAGAAGGCAAGGAGTTGTGATTCCTGCTTTCCACACTTCAGTTTTATCAGGAATAGGGAGTAGGATTGGCTGCCTATCAATAAAGAGTGGCTTCGGCTTCTGGAAAGTATAATTTTCATATAAACTTTTGTGAGACATTCAATTCTGAAGGAGAAAGAAAAGATGTGTTCTTCTCAGGTAAATGTGTGAATGTGTATGGGACATGATGACTGTTTTTACATAAATAACCTCATTATTATAACATCAAAACTTTCACTGTGCTAACTCACATTTACAAAATAAAAAACCTTTCATAATATTCTCTGTTTTAATTTTTCATAACAAGGTATATATCACATTACTTAATAAATATTTAATTTTATTATATATTAAATTATGTAAATGTTTAATACACAAATATATAATATATTTAATTATATAATAAATACATAATTAATAATTTATATAATAAGACTGACAGCCTATTGCCATAGGTCTCAACTTTCCTGCCGCTGCAACTCTTTAATAAATTTCTCAGGTTGTATTGATCCAAACCATGAGTTTATTTTTTTTTCTAGTTCATAACTGTAATTTTGCTACTGCTGTGAAGCATGCTATGAATTAAGTAAATATCTCTGTTTCCTCATGGCTTAGGAAACCACCATTAGATCATTGATGGGATTATGCAATTTGACCATAAAATGTGTTAACGTTCAAAGGTTGAGAACTGCTAGACCATTGAATCTTTGCTGAGAAATCAAATACTCTTTCTCTCAGATCATAAGTCATCAAAAATTACTATTAGTTATTGATAACATAAAAATTTACATAATTAACTAATCTTTTCTTGGAGCAAATATAAAATTTAGTCAATAAATTTTAATTTATTGCAAATGGTTAATTTTAATTACAGGAACTATTACGATTTATTGATGTGGCTATAGAGTTCTCTAAGGAGGAGTGGAAATGTCTCAATTCTGCTCAGAAGGCTTTGTACAGAGATGTCATGTTGGAGAATTACAACAACATGGTTTCTGTGGGTAAGAATATTTTTTTTCATAATTTCTACTTCACCTCAGAAATATCTGAAACTTCTTTTAGTATTTTGATCTGGCCTTGATTAATTATAGGTATTGATTAGTGACATATTTACAGCTAATATATTACCTACATTTTTCTTGATTTTATGCTTAAACTAAGGATCCTTCAATCTTAGTTACTTATTCTTAGGCAGATATTAGAATTTATATGTGAACCCACTTTGACTTCCACAGTTGCCTTTAATTAATGTGATAATTTAAAAAAGATATTCAGAATATTAAAAAGAATTGAGTTATGAAGCATCTAAACATTTTGGAAATAAAGTGGCTATTAAAAAAGTTATTCATGCATTTTTTTAACTCTCCTTCATTTTACATGTATGGTATCCAGGTACATTCAATGGTATATTGTTATGTATATTTGAATATACAGGTGGTGCAAGTTCAAAACCAGAGGTAATCATCTGTCTTGAACAAAAAAAAGAGCCCTGGATTGTTGATCGAGAGAAAACAGAAGGAAGAGAACCAGGTAATCTGAAATGAAATAATATGTGATATGATAATTCTAAACCAAGAATCAATCTAGTCCTGAAGTGTGGTTATTATTTTATCTTAAATCTATCTTACACACAGAACATTCCTAAGTATTTCATTCAGAACTAGGTACCAAAAAATGTAAATCATGACTGTTATTTAATTTTTGACTTACAGTATCTTAATAGTCTGAATAGTGGTAGTTTGAAATGTTGTATGTAATATCTGTTTTACAAAGTAGAAAAAGGTTATTCTGTATTTTAATTGCTATCATTATTTTTTCTGTTGCACATATATTACAAGTACATTTTAGTAATTATTGTTTTAGTACATCTGTAAAGAATTTTATAAAGAATATTTTGCTCATATTTTTCTTTCTTTCATCTCCTTGCAGTCTATTTCCTCTTCCGACACTAATTTAATATCTTAGTTTATGACTGTTTATGTTCCTCCCTCCCTCTAACTCTCTCTGTGTTTCTGTCTCTCTGTCTCTGTCTCTCTCTGTCTCTCTGTCTCTATGTCTCTCTGTCTCTCTCTCTCTCTCTCTGTTTCTGTCTCTCTGTCTCTGTCTCTGTCTCTGTCTCTGTCTCTCTGTGTCTCTCTCCCTCTCCCTCTCCTTTTCTTTTTCTCTCTCTCATTCTCATTCTCAAAGGAAAAAAATAAGTGGAAGCCAAAATATGTATTTAAACATGGAGTTAGATTTGTACTGACAACTGTTTGTGAACATAATCCATGAAATATTATTAATAGAACTAACATTTCATCATCAAATAAAACTAAATTTCCCTCTCCATGAAATTTTGTACTTTGGATAGGTTCTTACTCGTTGGACACTTTCTACCCTCTTTCTCCTTATCAAAGCTGAAGTCTTATCTGCCTTGAACATGTCCTGGTCTGTTTAATGTTGTCACATTATCAATGAGCTTATATAAACATTAATCTTGTTGTGTCTGGAAATGCTATTTAGCATCATTAATCACCTGTGGCCTATACAATTCTTGTGTCTTACCTTTTGTGTTGGTCCATGAGCATTGATAGGAGTGGTGTGTAAAATGTAATACATAAGACTGAATCCTCCAATGTCTCTCATTTTCTTCATTTTTCTAGTTGTTGGTCTCTACAATAAGCTTCTTTACTGAAGGTTGATTGATGCAAAGATCTACTGGAAAAGCAACATACTTTTAGGAGTCATATTATTGTACTTTTTATTTGTAGGAATAATATTAGATTTTTAATACAGTGCCAAGGACCTGTTTAGTCTCAAATTATTCGCCCCATAAACAGTTTCAATTATGGGTATTAACTTAAAAAAAAACACCATACTCTCAATCAACCTGTGGTAAGTATTCCAATGCATTTATGGAATAATTTACACAAGTTAGCATATCTTACATGAACGTCAACATTAGACATCACAAAATAAATATATGAGTAAGACTAATAATTAATTTGGTCCTCCTAGAATAAAATAGTACCTGAAAATACTATGATTATAAGTCAGTAAGAATGAAATATCCAATTTAATATGCTACTCAATGTTTCAGGTACTTTATATATTTACTTTCTTTGGCAGTAGACACATATTCTCAGATTTGGAATGAAAGTAAATATGTTTGGAATTACTGTGCTACTTCAATGGACTATATTTCAGAAAGTTACAACTCATTGCTTGTACTATATGCAATGTTTAGGTTATATGTAGCTTTGTATTGTCCATTCTAATTTTTGACAATGTCATTTAAACTGTCTTTCATATGCCCATGTGTTAAGAAACTTGTTTGACAGTAGTTGTCCATATGGCATTAAAAGATGCTTATTAAAAGATATGAACCAGAGAAATAGTGCAGAAGTTAGTGTTGATTGGACTTTAATCATATGAATTGAATTCAATCTCCAGAATTCACCCAGTGAAAAAATATACTATAAAGGATTTCCTGATTGCATTTATACCTATTCTCTCTCTCTCTCTCCATATATATATATATATATATATATATATATATATATATATATATATATATATATGTAAAAACTTTAAATTTGACCCTAGTATGTTACTCCTCTCCATTATGTCATTATGTTTCCTCTCCTCTATTGTATGCCCCATCTCATGGCATAATCTTCAGCGTATTTCTTTTGTCTTCTATGAAAAACAAACAAGGATATTTATGTCCCTAACTATCTACATAGGTATTATAAATATATCAGATATAGTCATATCTTAAAAAGCTAAATTAGCACATGAAGTTAAGATTGCATTGTTTGTTTTCTCAAAGTTCCTAATTCATACTGATTGTTCTGATCTTCATCCATTTATCTAAAAATTCCTTAAAACATAAAATGATGAAAAATTTCAATAAACCTAAAAGGATCTTGTATATATAGCATACAAACAATAAGTCAAGACAAAATGTACTGTTTAAATCATACACAAATCCTCTGATGATAAAGAAGTTTATATCAGAGCCACCCAACTAAAGAAATGTCATGGAACATGGATTCAGGGCAGAGTTTTACTAGAACAAGTTAGAATGAATGCCAAGTTCTTTAAGTTTTTCTTCATTGTAGAAACTCAAGGAACTTTTCAATGTTTTCTTTCCCTTTATACAGCCACAATAAATTTGGTCCAAAATTTTAAACAAAGATAATTGTGTTTGAGTATCTCTTATATATGTAAATGCTGAGATTTGCAGTAAAATATTTTGGAAATTAACTGAAAAACATATACAAATGATTATCTACCGTCCTTAAGTTTGTTCCATTCCGGAGATAAAGAGATATTTCAACATAAGTTAATCAATAATGTAATAAAATAAGTGAACAAACTCCAACATAGATACCACAGGATAATCTCAACTGGTTCTGAAAGGGCCTGTAACAAAATACAGAATCATTATGTAACAGTTATAGACAGACTAAGGATAGTAAATTGGGGTTTAAACAAGTCTGGGGTAAGAACATTCTTCATGGAGAGAACCTCAAAGCAATTCCCTTAATGTTTGTCCATATTTTCCATAGATATTCAATATTTTTGAAATCATATCTAAAGCAATAAGACATTATAATGGTTTTAGACAATACACATAGAATAGTTCATGTCAAAGTGTCTATTTTTTGATAATAATTTTATAAATAAAATTTGACAGGACATTTCTCAGATTTTTATTGAGGTTTGTGTTGATCTGTGTTTCCTATTTACAGCATTGTCATTCTTAGTGACATAACACATTCACACAAACATACAAACACACATGTGATGTTATATCTATATATTATAAGGTATATAAATTCAACATATGTAATGAATATCATATACATACATCTGTATTTTGTATAATTTTAAGTAAATATAAAACAACATTTCTATGTGAATTTACCAAAACAACCTTTTTATTATTTGTCAAAAAACTTACTTCTTTTTCTATATTGATCATTTGCCTGCTCCCAATTTAGAAACTCTTCCCCCTTTCCAGTTTTATATTTCATCTATTTATCCCCATCACTATCTATATAATTATATTACACTAATAAGTCTTGGGAAAGTGATCATTATTTTCTCTCTACATATGATCAGAATCATGGGTTTTACAATACAGAGTGTTCATCATTTCAACAATACATTGTGATAAACAACAAAAACCTACTCACAAAGATATTTTTATGTAAATGTAAATACACATAGCAAAAAATACACACACACATACACACACACACAGATACACAAATGTAAACACTTAAAATATAATCAAAGAAAAAGGAAAGAAAGGTTTTAACATGAGAAGAAAGGTGGGCAATGTGGAGTTTTCCCTGGAACTTCCTAGGGGAAAAGATGGGATGGTAAATAGGATTATACTCCTAATTCAATTGAAAATATACTTTAAATTAGCTAGTTAAACTAAGTTATTTTTTATCACTATACATAAAGCTTTCTTATTATATGTTTATTCCCCTTGTACGATTAGATTTGTGACATTATGCCATTTTACTTCTGGCTATTGTGAAGGTAGTTATTTTACTTATTTCTTCTTCAGGCCGATTATCAATTGTGTGAAGGAGGGCTACTGAGTTTTTGGATTAACTTTGTAACTAGCCACTTTATTGAAGAAATTTTTGGCTGTAGGAAATATTTTATGGAGTACCTCAGTCATTTACATATACTATTATATCATCTGTGCATTGCAAAATTTTTCCTTTTATTCTTTTCTAAGTTAATTATTAATCATTTTATTTATTTCATCCCAAAATGTTGCCACCTGATTTCTCTTCCCAAAGTTCTTCATCTGATCCCCACACACATTTGCCTCTGAGAGGGTGTCCCCCCATCCCCTTCCCCTGCACACCAAATCTCTAAAAGTCTAGGCACATCCTCTCTCACTGCAGGAAAGCAAGAAAGTCCTCTGCTACATATGTGCCAGGGGCCTTTGAACTAGCTTATATGTGCTCTTTGCATAGTACCTTAGTCTCTGGGAGCTCCCAGGGGTCCAGATTAGTTGACATTGTTGATCTTCCTATGGAGTTGTCTTCCCCTTCAGCTCCTTTAATCCTTCCTCTATTGCTTCCATAGGGGTACCCAACTGCAGTCCAATCCTTAGCTGTACATATTTACCTCTGTGTTAAGTCAGCTGGTGGTAGAGTCTCTCAGGTGCCAGCTATGCTAGACTCCTTTCTGCAAGCACAACATGGCATCAATAACAGTGTCAGGGTTTGGTGTCCACCAACATCCCAAGTTGGTCACTGGGTATCTTTGCCTTTACCTTCTGTTCTGCTTTAGTCGCCAAATTTCTTTTTGTTAAGAACAATTCTGGGTCATTTTTTTTTAAAGGTAGGTTAGTGAAACCATTCTTCTTCTTTTACAGTTCATATCATCTTGATCTCCTTTAATTGCCTTATTGATCAAACAAGAAATTTAAGTAGTATACTGAGGAAATAAGGAAAGAATGGACAGCCTTATCTCATCCTTGACTTGAGTAGAAATTTTTTTTAATTTCTCACCATTTAATTTGATTTTGGCAATTGGCTTGTTCTTTATTGTCTCACTAGTGTTTAGTTATATGCCTTGTATCCATGGTCTCTCGAAGACTTTAGTATGAAGTGGTATTGGAATTTATTAAAGGATTTTCATTTTCTAATGTAATAATCATGTTTTTAGTTCATTCAGTTTTTTTTATATGTTGGATTAAATTGACAGATTTTCATATATTGAATGAGCCTTCATACCTGAGATGAGGCATTCTTGATTATGTTGTTTGATGATTTTGATGTCTTCTTGCATTTTTGTTTGCAAGTATATTAATAAGTATTTTTCATCAATATGCATAATGAAAATTGGTCTGAAGCTATCTTTGTTGTGGGTTTTTTTGTGGTTTAGGTATCAGGTTCAATGTGTAATTGTAGAATGAGCTTTTTGTTGTCATTGT